CCGAGGAGCTCCGGCCTGGCCCCGCTCGGCCCGGCGGCCCCGCGCAGCTCGGCACCGGCGGGGGGGGGTCGGGGGAACTTCATACGACCAGTGCCTTGGCCACCTGCAGAAGCGTTCACAGGGGTTAGCCCCAGGTCTCAAAACCATTCCGCCAAGTCAGTGGAGTTAAATGGGTTTAGACCAACGTACACCGGCCAAGGATCTGACTCACCCACTTTTTGCTGGCCAAATGCTGAAAATAATTGAAAGCGTGGCAAGAACTGATCGTGACTAACAGCATAGAAGCAGGATATTAAAGGAGTTCCCTGTATATCGCGTTCTGCTTAAAACTAAAACACACATCGCGCAGCCTTCCAAAGCTATCACGACGGGAAACGCCCACAGACCTCTACTACTCTGCCACAGCTGGATCTAAGGGTTGGTGCGGAAAGAGGAGATGGAAGAGACTTCAGTATTCTCCCCAAATGCAACCATGATTTTGCTGTGTTTCATCATTTCACCGCATGATAAAAGATGGTAGCCACATGCAGAGGTGGTTTTTGTTCAAGGCTTTAGTGCCTCAATCACCCTGCAGAATTTCAACTTAAATAGTTTGGCTTTAAACACGTAACAACCTTTAAAGAATTTGTGCATGCCTCCCCATTCGAAGGCGGCCAGTAAAATGGTCCCAAAATGCTGATAAAGAGAAAGGCTTAAGCTGGTCTCCCTGTTTTGGCAGATCTAATAGCACTTGGGGATGGCAATAACGCAGTCATCTCTGCAGCTGTACCAACCTCTGTACCAGAGAGGCAAAGCCCTCGTTCTGAAATGGGGTAAGAACTTTAACTTCTCCCAGCCTGATGCCTGTAATCAGGGCAAATCCCCAGTCTAAACAAGGCCAGAGATAACAAACTGGTCCTTCAAAAGGGACGTATTTGTGTACAAACGATGGTACCTTGCCTTTCTCACAGTCCACCTCCTCCTCTGGCTTTTGCATACAATGCACTCGAATCCTCCCCCTGTGAGGTCACCCCGGTCCGTGAACTCCAGAGGACGATTGCCAAGTGACAGCTTCTACTTTTCTCCTGGCTCCTGTTCACTAACTTGTGATTTCAAGAAAGAGCAAAACAAAAAATCAGAGAAGCTGTTATGGTGTGTCCACAACTGATTTAATACACCGAGGCCAGACCATGCAAATATTAAGCCCATTAAGTAGTCCCAGTTTGGTAATGTTTGGCCATAAGATGACACCATTTTCCAAAAGCACTAAATGCGCAAAACTGGCCACGTGTCAAATCCTTGCACTGTGAAACTTGGCCTCTTCACTAGGGCTCTTCGTGTGAGAAGAGATAACATGATTCAGCCATTTACCTTTTAATTGCTCTAAGCAAAGGAATCCTTTCCAACATTCCCAACTCTTAACATTGAAAAGAAAGATCTGGAAAAAAAATTCAGGAAGTCAAATTTCAGAAATCCCAAATGCAGCATATATAAACATCTATTTTTTCCCTCATAACTGACATTCATTCATTGGAACATTTCAGTGGAACAAATGTAGAAAGACATGTAAACAGTTCATTAACATCCCATAACCTTACAGTGTGCAAACACACACACACAAAAAAAGACAACGCAGAACAAGCTAATGAAGCACGTATTTGCTAGATGCTGTGGGGTAGAGTTGTAAGGGAAATATATAGCTATACTGAGTTAAATAAGAGTTATAAACTGTGCTTCAATCACACACCCTGTCTCCCTCCCACATGCTAAAAGAAAATAGTGGGGAGTAAAGAGAGAAGGTAGAGTCATCAGGAAAGTAAAAATACTGCTTAATGCGGACACTGAAAAGCAGCTAGCCTTGCCCAAGGCACATTAACCTCAACTCATCTGCTGCTGTTTATTCTACAGAGCACTAGCACTGCTCATGTTTAACCCACACAATTGGAGACAAGAGCTTTATCGGAACTGGAGAAGAACAAAGATGCATGAAATCCACATTCTCTTCCTTAAAATATTCTCCCCTTGCATCCTCCCTTCACCCAGCTCCCCGCCCAGCCCAGTCCTCAGGAGCTCCAGCACACATCTGAACGGCTGCCAGTGGAGGAAGCGAGCAGTTTCCATACACACATCACGCCACAATGTGGGAATTCAGGAAACAACAGAAGAAAGGGGTTCCTAATAACTGTTCCAGCGTACTCGGGCCAATTTATGCAATCATACAAAGGTCACAGTAGATGTGTTAAAAAGCACAAAAGATAAATGCCACAACGGCAACTAGTTCAAAGTAGGAAAATAAATCTTGGGCTTATGAAGTGTTTGGTTGACCTGGAATTGCTCCACCTACAATTTTTTAAGAGGTTGTCCTTCACATTCTTTAAAATTCCTCCATCTTAAAGTTCCTCCCTCCAGGAATCGCTGTAACTCTGCCGTCCTTTGTCCACAGCAGCTGGAGCTCAGGAAGCTGCTGATATTATCCCTCAAGTACAGAGAGAAATTACTGCTCAGTCCTGCGTCCATTCAGTGCTGCTGAGAGGGGTGTAAATTAATTTCCATGGATCTCTGATCTCGGGCCAGTTTAACAGAGCTTTTCTTCTTGCACATAAAAATAAACTGTTAACAGTGCTCAGAAGTGCCATTTAGCTCTTGGGACCAGACAGTACATCTCCACCACCACCAAAGCAGAGGGTTCTTTGCCTAGTCTGTAAAAAAGCTGTTGGGTGAAATAATGGCCCTACAGTAAACGAACAGTAATGCAAGCAACAGTAAAAAAGACTAAGAAGAGGAGCTGAGGCCAAGTTTACTAGGTGAGCAGGAGCAAGGAATAGGTAAATACGAAAAGGGAGATTACTTTGTATTTCTTGCCATAGGAGCCAAAGTCAGTTTGATACATTCACTGAAGAAAAGGAAGTAAGTGAACAAATACATTAGGGGATGCAGATCAGAACAAGATTAGAAGATTTCAAAACCATGTAAGAATCACAAGAAATGTGTGGAGAAGGCACCAAGGCACAGGAGGGTTAAGTGGTTTGTCCAAAGTCATGCCAGGAGTTCAGTCTAGACTTGAAGAGTCTCCGAGAGTCACAGGCCACAGAACCTGCCTTGCTGCCCGCGCGTACGGTGAACTTGGGACATACAGCATTGCAGCTTTTGCTGCCATTTTACTACGGGGATGGAGAGGAGCCAGGGCCTTCAGGGTGGTCACAGCCATGTTTAAGTTGTATTTAGAGGATTTGATGTTGCTGCTAAATCCATCCCTAAGCTGTAACAAACCCTGAAAGGCTCCCTCAGGTCCTGCCATTGGGTACAGCTGCAGACCAGCTATGATTTCTGAAGAGAAACAAATTCAATCTGACTGACATGAGATTGAGGCATGAATTATATGTAAAAGCAGTTATCATTCACCAACAGATGGTAATGACAGGTATTCATAGACCAACAACACCAGAAATTACTACCATGAAACTTGACATGCATGGAATTGCTAGAAAAATTCTACTTTTCAAAACACAGGAGCTGGAGCAGTTATGCACTATTTATTCCTCTGCTCTTCACTAAGTAATTGCTGTGTCTTCCTACACAAGTTTACTAATCTATCAATTCTATATAAGAAAACTTTAATGACCACATATAACTTTTGGGAGGGAAGTAATTGCTACAGAGACTTTTGCATAGCCAACTTCATGTCCTGTCTATATTGTGATTTACACTGTGACATGGCTCCTGCTCATCTAAGGTTTTGTATGCTACTGCGTGTGAAGATTTTTAGAAGTATGTCAGTCTGGATGGTACCTCTAATGTAGTGTAACTCAAGTTCAGCATGGTTCCTTGGGTGAAGAAAGGGCCTGCACAGGAAGGGGCAGAAAAGGAACAGCTTACCACAGTGAAA